AAGTACTTTAAAGCACATAAATTAGTTACCCGGGCAATTGAATCAATTAGCCAATCAGATGAATGTCGGCCTATGAGTTTATTACTTCGTATTTTGACGGAAAATCACGGGTTTAATGAGTCATGTGCCCCAAAATAAAAATTATGCAAATGACGAAAATTTAATAGACATTAAATCGACTAACGCCAAAATTACCAATCAAATTTCCTATCTGCTATAATAATATAGAGACACGTATAAGAATACTTTTAACGATCAATTCAAGTATAATTAATTGCCAGTATGGATTAATGCCATTAAGTCCGGTTATTTTTTATAACCCTCACTTTTCCAACATAGTCTTCTAACAATTACTTTCCTAGCGTAATCACTTCTTTATCCCAACCAGAATAGCCACCAAAACTATATAGCTATGTAATTGCTACTCAAGATTTGATCCAAAGCTGTGTATTAATTTATTTTATTTATTCAAAGAATTTATTTATTTACTGCAAATGTTGAATACAATTATATTTAATTAAGTTATTTTAAACGTTTAGGTTCAACCTCAAATATAAATCAATATCTGTTTAAAATATCGGCATGGTGGTTTGATAGTTTATTTGCGCCGGTAATACAAACCAAAAAAGGAAATCAGTTTTGTAAATAACTAAGTGCGTAAGAATAAAAGTTTAGGATTAGTACGTTAGGGTTGTGAGCTTTAGCGATAAGTTGGAGTTTCCTATATGTAAACACTAGTTTTTGAGTATTTTCGTTTTCTTTGCTTTTTTTCTTCTTTCACACGTGATCCGGAATACGATAGGGTCTACGATACAGATCTGCGATTTATTTATCAGTTATATCGTACACCCATACTAAACTGATCTGCAAATCCATAGATTTGCTAAAAATTCCTAAATGGTAGGGATCGAACCACCATCTACATTTGTAAGAAAAGAGGTTGGTGGTTCGATCCACTTTTTAGTGAGAAAAGAGGTTGGTGGTTCGATCCCGAAACAAAGAGAAAAGAAGTTAGCGGACCTTTAGTGAAATATATATATATATTGCCTGAGGTGTTACTATGTATAATTAATAGGTTACTATGTATAATTAATAAAAATTTGTGTGAGGTTGCTCAGCGGATCAAGGAACTAGGTGATATATTCGTGATAATCACATTACTTGATAATCATTCGGCCTAAGACGTTAGGGTTAGTGTTGGTTAGGTATAGTTAGTTTAGGCCAATTTGTTAATGCGAGTAAACAAATGACGTCATTTCATAATTTCACACCACCCAAATTTATTTCAGATAATTTATATTATGATTTTAATGAGCATCATTTAATTACATCATTCTAAGTATGAAAATGCTATTCGCTAAAATCATATTGCATGATCTGAAATAAATTTGGGTGGTGAATTTTACCTGGTTGCGCGAATATATCACCTAGTTCCTTGTTCTTCAAGTCTCCCGCTCAGCGTAGGTCGCTTCGGATTGTTCTTAGACCGCAAAAGATATATAATCTAAAGGTGTTTCTTGTTGATAAGGTCTACTAATTCCGGAAAAGGATTGTTACGTGCCTTCCTTATCGCTATTTCAAGGTTCTTTATATTGCTAATAAAAATATTACTGCATGGAAAAGTTGGCATTTTCTATTAATCAATTTTATTTTATATTATAACGATCTGCTATCAATAAAGCTACAAAAACTCAAAAACGAAATAATCTGGAACTTACAAGATATCAAACATTAATTAGTCAAAATAAACGAAATATACATTCTAATTTATTTTTTAATAATAGTAAGACTTCGAAAAATTGAATGAACTCCTCATAAAAGAGAATATGAGTGCGTACCATATTATAATTATATTCATTGGGGTATAATTGCTTAGTTCACTGTATTTAGTGCTACGTAGAATTCTGTATCAGCTGGGTTTGATAACCGAAAATTTAAAATTGTAATTATGAAAAAGTTTTTTATCATATTATATATAAAGTTTTATTGTAAGTTTTTGTGATAGATTTAGTTAGTGTTCCGATCCTATCTTTGACAGGCCATTCAGATTCTATTAAATCCAGATTGAATTCGTATCAGATTAGATATAAAGCTGGTATTTGTCCGTTATTTAAGTTCTTTGATCAATCCAAGTAAAAATCTCTGATCTGGATGTCTAAATTATCTGGATTTAAGGATCAATCCAGATAGTCAGTCGGATTAAGGATCGGAACACTAGTTTTAGTGCTGAAGCTTTTCAAAATTCGGTTAAAGAATATTGGTGGATGCAAAAATATCAGATAATACATATAGCAATTTTATCATAATGCTTTATATAGAATTGATTATTTAGTATATGAAATACCCCAATAAACCGTCCAAAATTCGATACCGTTAATTTCAAACACATGAACATGACGAGTTTACTCAGATCGAAGAGAACGTAGAGGAGGATCTGGAGACCATATTGCAACAAAATTTTTTATTTATATTATTTTATATTAATTCATTAAAAATACCTACAAGATTAAGACATGATTCGACCTATTTATCTGCAGAAGAGATTCATGATATTAACGCTTTCAGAAATATATATACCCAATGCTGTGCAAGTATTTTCAAAGAAGTATTGAATATCATATGCGCGTATCTATAAAATTTGGGAATTTACTCAATAAATAATTTACACAAATTGGAGTGGGTCAAATATGATAAATCTTATTACTTATGTATATAAAATTAATAAAGGTTTATTACTGAATTTTAAAATATACTAGGTTAATTCGTAGCATTGTGTGTCTGGAGCTTATAAATATTATTAAATGTATATTTGTCTTGTTACACTAAAGTACTGTACAAATTCAGACACGCGTGCGGACAGCCATGAATTTTCAAATTTACATTTTTGATGCGAAATTATAAGATGACTAATGATTTTAATCAAAAACGTAACTACTAATGCATCAATAACGTAACTTTGTATCACCATTACTAACATTAAAATGTCCTTACGCTCCAGACAATAATATTTTTATTATAGTTACATACACAGAAGCAAATTCTACTCTGAATTTTTAGGTTATTGTTCACTATCACCAGAATCAGATCATACAATATTTTATAAACGTGTTATTTTTTGCTTTGAGAGACTTTAGATAAAACTTGCTCCGTTGCGCGCACTGATGGTTGGTTCATTGCAGTCAGAATTATTTTATTCGGCGAGTCAATTATGTCATTGGCAAATCGTGAGGTTGGTCAACGGTGCAAAAAATTATAATTTACAAGTAAATATAGTGTTTGTAGTCGATAGCACATTAGTCGACTTAGTCGGCTAAGTCAATCAATTTTTTCAAAGATCGGCTTAGTCGACTTTCTAAAATTCATCATACTCAAAATTCATTTTCAATTTAATACTATATACTAAATATATGAAAAACCATTTTTGAAGATTCTTTATTCAATATACAGTAAATGTAATATAATAATTAAACTAAAGATTAGTTGAATATTTTTATTTTTTCTTAAATAATTTTTTATTAGTCAGTTGCTTATTTACAGTATACAGTTATTGTGCTCTGAAATGGACAATTGTTTCAATTCATATTAATAAGGAACCAATAATGATAAAAAAATAAAAAAATAATACTAATTATAATAAAGAACTTTGATTTACATATCGAATATGTATCGGTTTTCTTAGTAACTTATGTATCGTCAATAAAAGAATTTTTAAATGTAAAGTTTTATTTTATAAGCCAAATTTTATATCATCGGCTAATATTTAAAAACCGACTACTAACACTACCATATACATTTTTTCGTGAACAGCTTCTGCAGTATCTCTATTTGAACGTATCTCTACGTGCATGGAACAGCTTTCGTTAAATGGCTTCCGAAGACAGTCAAATCATCCTCCTAGGTGTAATATCACGAAGTCCTCTCATGTTCGTAGAATAACTCAGGTGGTCATCCCAGAGAAAATCATCCGTATAATATCACAGTGCTATTTATGGGTCAGAGATAATCATAATAGCATAAAGTACTTCGTGTACGTAGAGTAACGTGTGGTTATTCCAGAGAAATCACCCTCGAGATATGAATATGTAAAGTCATCATTGCACAACTATAGAAGAACGTTCACGTTTGAAGACGTGACCACGGCGCGCTTTCAATTCCATGGTTTGTGGTTGAAGTAGTTGAAGGTGGAGAAAAAGTAGGAAAGGGAGAACGAGTTGAAGCAGTTGAAGGTGTAGCGAGTGTAGATGGTGTAGCGAGTGTAAATGGTGTAGCGAGTGTAAATGGTGTAGCGAGTGAATGAGTAGATGGTGAGTATATGATTCGTATACATAGAATGCCCTCACCAAATAACTCAAACTGTTGATCCCAGCGATAATTACGAAAAGCCGAAGATATTGATTATATAACTAGAAAAATATATTCGCGTTTTCGTCGTCCTGTCGTTTTCTGACTGCGATTCTTCGTGTAGAGACGGGAGTGCTAGATTGTGGGTCCATTCTTCGTGCGGAGTGCTAGATTGTGGGTACAAAAATATACCCTTGCAGTTTCGTCAGTTTCGTTATCTTTCGTCACCTTTCGGCAGTTTCATCACCTTTTCGCTAGTTTCGATACCTTTCGTCAGTTTCGACATTTTGTTATTTGAGATTTTAGTTGAAGTTATTTCCTTTTGTATTATAACGAGCAACACGGCCTTTACTCAGAGCATTTGAGATATGACTACCGTTAGTAGGCAAGCGTTTGAATTTAGTTAAACAGAAAACGAACAGGCTAGGGGAAGACAAGTTTTTTAAAATACGATGTTTTAAATCAGGTTTATAAGTTATATTGTTCTAAAAAAGTTTTTTAATCAAGTGATTTAATCCGCTAAGTGCAGATTTTTTGGTGTTATACAACAATCAATCACAATTTCGACAATTCAATTGGTCTATGCTAGGATAGCTATAATACAAATTTGAAGTATTCGTAAAGTGAGGCTTTATTATAAAATTAGATGTTTAGACTCACTGGCTTGCTCAAATTTTTTATTTATAATAATTGTAGCAATATGAACAAAATTACAGAATAAATTTTTACATTAATATGCAAGAAAAAATCATTAAATCATTTTACGTAAAATTTTTTTAATTTATATATAAATTTGTTCTTTGATCTACATAGTTTTGATTAATTATAATGTTGGACACCCCAATACGTTACAATAATTACAAACCAATTGCGTAAGTTTGTGAGAATAAGTTATCGTACCTACGAAATAAACGTCATGAAGATTAACAATGTCGCGTAAAGTTGAAACGATAAGAAAAAATAAGTATAGTTTGAATTAATATATTGAATTTAATTGTTCGTACAAAATGGTACAGTTATGAAATAGTTACAAAATAACTTTAAAATGACAAATAAAAATAATTTAATTGATTTTTTTGCAGCATTCTTGCTCAAACTATGACCCTTTTATTAAATTTTCTTTTTTATCATGGTTTTTCTTTATTTAAAACTTGAATGCGGATCATCATAACGGCGGGTTTGCGGAATGGATCTAAATTAAGGTCCTTGGATTTAACAATTGCAGAATGCATAATAGCTGAAATTTTGGGGTCAGTTTTACAATCGCATTGTTAAAACATATGGACCTTAATATAGCTCAATTCCGCAAATTCTCGAAGGAAGTCAATCGTGAGATTGAAAGCAATTTTTGATGCGCAATATCTTGTAATAAATTTATCTAAAGCATGATATTGGGGTCTGGCATTTTAGTAATCATTTTTGATTTCTTGCAAGAAAATGTCAACCTCTCACTTTGCTCAACCGAAAAACCATCAACTTCTTTATTCTGTTCAACTGAACCATCACTTTCTTCATTTTGTATAACTGATTCACTTGTAAAATACGAAACTATTTCTTAATTCAACAATAAAAAAAAAAAAAAAAAGCATACTTTGAAGTTACTTCCAATAGTTTATCAGATGATTCTGATTCTTGTAAATGGCCTTGCGAAATAGAACTAGGCTATAACGAAACATAAAGGGAATTACTTTTTGCGACTTGACCTAACAAAAAATTTTTTGGTCGCTAACTCCATGCACTAACGCCCATTTCTTGTCATTACGCTCAAAATATCGATATGTTGTTAACGTTGAGCAGAAAGAGTATGGAAAAATCCAACAAAGACGATATTATAAATTATATAGTAACGATTTTATACTTAAATGCGTACTGTATTCTGCGGGGGCTTAGGCTAACTGCGCCACCAACCCGGTACACATTCAAGACCTGCAAAATTATCCAATAAGATGTAGTAGGTTTTATTAACCGCCACAATCATCAATGTTTTAAAACATTACAGTAAAACAATTTAAAAAATGACAATAATAAACGTAAAATCATTAAAAAACGACCATCCGCAGTGTGTATAATACGTGTAAATTATTCCTCACATGATTACTGTGTTCTTAGCGTATCCGAGCTTATAACCCGACCACTGGCGGTTATAACCATGATCGATCAGAGACCTTTACCAACTATGGAGCTAATAACCGAAACTAACCAATAGTCCGATGATCATTCGGCCGAATCCGATATCGACATTGCTGTAATGCCGAAATCCAATGCCGATAACACCGAAATCAAAAACTTATCGAATTCGGCCGAAACAATTTTTATCAGTTGTCCATAAGAGTAAAAGGTAAGTCAATCATATTTACATGTAAATCGATGTTATAATTTTTTCATAAAACAAAGCTATATGTAGGTGATTAAATTACTTTCGAATAAAAAGCAATTTCACTATAAATTTCGCCATAATCATATTTTTTAAATGAATCCTTAAAAGAATACTATTTATTTTGCCAACTAATTGCTGAAATAATGGTTTATTAACTTAATTTCAATACTATATACTATAGTATTAAGAAATAAAAAATAATAATTTCATACCTAAGGACTTGGCTTATAACTCAAAAACTTACTAATTAATTTATATTCTTGATTTTTTTTATATAAATTTCTTATTCCTTGATTTTTAGGTTTTGAAAAATTTGACAAATGCCTATATTTTTTTAAAATATTTTAATATCTATTGATTCAAATTTAGATGAAATTTTAATATACTGTATTATAGCAGAAGAGATTTTTTATAAGATATAAAAATTTGATACAGTTTTGATTAATTGTTAATTGAAAAATTAACTAAAGCAAAAATTTCAAGTTTTAATATTTTTTATTAATTTTTTTTAAAACTACTGATCCAAATCAAATAAATTTTTTTTTATTTAATATAGATAGGATTTTTTTATAAAATAAAAAAAAATTATTAGAATTTTAATTACTAGTTATTGAGATAATTAAAGATTTACTAAAAAAAGTTAGTAGTTATTATTTATATTAAATTTTTTATTAAATAATTGTGGATTCTTTATAATTTCTCTTTACAATATTAGTAAAAACTATATCTTTAAAATAAAAAAATTTAATTTAGTTTTTTTTTTATTTTATTTTGAACATAATAATATGTTCAAAATTTTAATTTAAAATTTTATAAATTATGTTCAAAATTACATCAAAAAACCTATATCTAAAAATCTATACATTAATACCAAATCATTTTCATTAATCTCTTTTTTCTAATTTGGATGTTTACTTTCCATATGTCTATCCAGATCATATTGACGCTTGAACATGAATTCACATCCCTCAACCGTACACGATATATTTCTACCAGAATCATAGTAACCAAAACCTGTAAGATGTTCAATTTCAGTTACATTACGGTTGATCTTGTCATCTTTATTCAGCTTTCTAATTTTACGCGAACGTGGGTGCTGCCAACATTATTATCAAATGTAATTAAATTATATCAAGTTAAAAAATATATTATTTTTGAAAACATCATTTTTTATTAAGTATTATTCAAAACTAACCTCGTGAATATTTTTGATATGATTATCCATAACTTTTTTGTATGCAAAAGACATCCCACATCCAGGAACATGGCAGTCAAATCGACGATCGTTTTGGTGTACTGTTCGAATATGTGCATAAACAGCTTTTTTCTAATTTTTTTTTTAAAAAAAATTTACAAATTTTTTTATTGTTCATAATGATAAACTTTTAATAAAATTGATTTAATAACACATACACTATAATAATGTTTTTCACAATCTTCCCAATTACATGGAAATAAGATACGATCAGGGCTATGTGTTATCATGTGTCGCCTGAGTGCTTTCATATCTTTCAATTTTTTATTACATAATTCACAAATAGCTTCGTGATCATTTCGTATATGAGTGTGAAGTTCATTAACCTTTGAAAATTCTTGTTCACATCCTTGAAATGCACATCGCCATCTATTTTGATCTAAAATTAATTATCATGAATATTAATAAAAAATTTGTGTAGTATATAAGTTATGTAATAGATAAGTTATGTAATAGATAAGTTATGTAATAGATAAGTTATGTAATAGATAAGTTATGTAATAGATAAGCTATGTAATAGATAAGCTATGTAATAGATAAGTTATGTAATAGATAATAAAAGAAAATTTACCAAAATGAACTCGCTTATGGATTCGTAATTTGGTTGAAGACGAAAAACTTTTCTCACATCCTTCATCTTCACAAGGGTAGGGTTTCTTTTTGGTATGTATGGTCATATGTTTTCTTAATAAATAATCCTGTGTAAATGTTGATCCACATTCCTCTACATGACACTAATATTTTTTTTTTTTTGAATTATGTTCAAACCATAATTATTTTAATTAATTAATATGCTTACTTTATATATTTTCTCAGTCTCATGTATATCTTTTTTATGCCTCCTTAAATGATGTTTTATTGAGAAACTTGACACACAACCCTCAACTTCACATTTGAATGGCTTTGGATCTTGTCCATGTACAACAGCGTGAATTTGTAAATGATCTAATCGTTTATAAGTTTTTTCACAATTAGGCACTGGACATTTAAAGGGTCGCTATAATTTATTTATTTTATAAAAAAATTTTACAAAAATTAGCAATCTACTAGTCTTTTCATTTTTGGAAATACTTGTATTTGGTTACCGATTCTGTATGCGTTATTCGATGTCTTTCCAGCTTAGACCGAACTTTAAAGGATTTATTACACTCTTCGTACGTGCATTTCCAAGGTCGCTCTGTATCAGTAATCATTTCCCCATTAACAACTAAGACTTTACAATTGTCCAGCGAAACCATTTTTATAAAGCGAAACCGTAATTGATGCACGTATGATAATCTTATCATGGTAAAAAATTTTACATCACGTGATAACTAATTATAAATATAGTAATTTCCAAATTTTTCGTCATTCATTATCGTTATGTCTACACCACAACATATAGTTCAACTTACTCGTTTAGACGATTTATGTAAAGAATGGACAACAATCCATAGCCAATCATGCAATTTATTCTCATCCTTAGTTAATATTCTAATTCAACGTCAAGCAACATCAAATATATTAAATTCTACAAATTCCACAAAACTTAAAGTTACTACGAATACCACAATCGTTACTTCAAACATTTTAGATCAAATATTTCAACCTCAAACTCTTACTCGTGTTATTTACAAACAATCACGAGAAATTGAAGAGATTCTTTTAAAAATTCATAAAATTCTTGAAGAATTTGAAACAATTGTTAAATCTATGAGAAAAATTTTATTACAAAGCGATAAATTAATTTCTGGACCTTTAACTGATTTAAATTCAACTTATAAAACTTCAAATTCTAATTTAAATTCAAAACAACAACCTTCCAATAAAAAAAATAAAACTTCAAAATCTAAACAATCTTCAAAAATTATAAATATTAATAATTCATCTCGTGATCAAAAAATTGACGATGTAGTTGATATATCGACTTCTTTATCTAATCTTTATATAACTCGTATTGTTGATATGTATGAAAAAGAATTAACATATAAAAGAAATTTAATTTTTGGTGGTTCTTTAATAATCGATCATTCAGATAATGAAAGTAATGAAATTAATAATTTCGAAAGTACTACAATTAAAGCTGGAATTGATGGAGTAAAGTTGGTTGCAGAAAAATGGGCAGCTCAACCATATTTGGAATTTGAAATTGAGGAAGAAATAGTAGATAGAGTAAAAATTTGGAAAAAGGTTAAAGAGTTTGAGAAATTAAATAAATAATTATTGTAAATAAGCATATATATACTATATATGTTTTATATATTTAAATACGTATAAAAATTTAAAAATATTTTTTTTTATATCCAAATTACTTGTTATACTTATATTGAAGTATTATTTTTATTATTAGTTATATATATTATATATTAATTAGTATTAGAATTATTAGTACGTAACAGGGACTAACGCTAAACTCTAAATTTAATTAAATTCCGAATTCACTAAATACAATTCTCATTTACAACATATCCATTCGTAATTAAGATTAACAAAGGTTTTAATTTAATATTTTATATTTTGTGTAATATTTTTTCATTTATTAATTTTCATTATTCCTTAATAGCTTCGAGGACTTGATATATTCACATTGGCTTGATCGAACTTGAATTTGATTGTTATGTAGATAAACCAAAAAAATACCTTTGTAGGAATGAATTCGTTATTTTCGGTTATTGGTTTATAATTGACTAATCGCGACAAATGGGGCCAATAATTGACATGAGACTTTCATGTTGTCACAAACTTAAATTTTGTGACAAAAAATTTCAACTTGGTACCCTATTACTGTATTACTGTATAGTTCCCGTTTCTTAACATTTCATAGCACGCATACGTGTTGAACAGTGATTGTTTATTTGGATTCTTGGTTTTAAAAGCACGTTAAACATGGTGTAATTCATCATCATGTATAAGAGTGAAGGAAATAAATACCATATAGAGCTCCTACAGTATCCTGATAAAGTAACCCCGTACTGTTATTTAATTACAAATGCAACGTTTTGAATAGTACCCACATAAGTCATTGTCCGAGAGACTTTACGATAGAAATATAGTCACCCTAACGTATGGGCCCCTCCGGGGGTCTAGACCAGTGTTGTTGCAAACCTGGTCCAGTGACAATCACTGGAACTGGAAGGCTCACTGGAACTAACTGGATAAAACTGGAAGAAAATTGATTCTAGTAGCTAGTTGTCACTAGACTCTTCCAGTCATATTTTTTTTACTACTAGATGGAAGATCCAGTAAGGTCCAGTGAGATCAGATAAGGTTTAGTGCAATTTAGTAAAATCTAATAATATTAAAAAAAAACTTTTAGTACAATATAACAATAAATTAAATGCATGCGCACTTGTGGTTCAAGTAATCTAACACAAGCTAGCACATGTAAGCTTTAATGCCATTATTTATAACCGGCATATCTTTGCAGTACATGTGATGTAATGCGTTATGCACCGTGTGTTGTAACATTACAAGAATTACTAATCCTGAATTCTTAATGAATCTCTTAAAAGTTTTTTACATTTTAATAAATGGTCTTTTAATCGGTCAATCGAATCAACACAGTCTTCTTTGCAATAATTGTATTTTTTGGTGAGGTGTTATTCGATTATGTTTATCGGGTTTAGCAACTTTTGTAAAGTTCAAACAGATTTCTTTTAGGGGTCTTTCATGAACATAAGACATTTGTAGTAATTTTTTTATTTAATTTATTTTTTGAATATCGATTAATTTATTTTTTGAATATCGATTAATTTATTTTTTAAATATCGATTAATTTTTAAATATTGATTAATTTTTGAATATCGATTAATTTTTGAATATCGATTAATTTTGAATATCAATGAATTTTTGAATATCAATGAATTTTTGAATATCAATGAATTTTTGAATATCGATTAATTTATTTTTTGAATATCGATTAATTTATCGATATTAATAATCAATATTATATAA